CGAAGAACCTTTCTGTTTCACAAAAGGTTCTTTGTGGCGAAAGAAGGTTCTTCAGATTATAAAAAGGTAAGAAAGAGATGGTTCTTTAAAGAACCTTTGACTGAATGGTTCTTTGTGGAACCAAAAATGGTTCTTATATGGCATCGCTGTGAAGAACCTTTGAAGCACCTTTATTTTTAAGTGTATTTCGTTTTTAAACTCTTTTTTTTTATACTCTTGAGGTGCAAAAGCCTTCCGTAAAGAGACAATTTAACAGTAAAATGTTTTCAGTTACTTAAAAATGGTCTTATATATTATAGGTTACACTGGAGACATGTCAAAATATTGCCACTATCTTTTTGCAGTAATAGTTCTTGTTCAGCTATTAACAGTTCACAATTAAGTGACACCTCAAAAAAGGCAAAACAAAAGAAGGGCTTGTCGCTAAACAAGGATGGGATGTGGCCCATTATAATGTGAAAGCACTCATTTGTGTTAAACAGTTTGAACACCTTTGGCCATCAGCACAACAGTAACAAGCCAGAGAGATCTTGGAAATTTCTTTAAATGAATACATTTCTTAAAATGTTTTAGTGAAAAAATGTAATACTTTAATTTGGAAAATTTTATAGCAATTTTAACAGCGAAATGACATCGTACTACAAAGCAAGGTGAGGTTTTCCATTGCTAATCCAAATTTAAGAGGTATAATTGGAGAACAAGTTGTACTAAAAATATTTTTGTATTGTAAGTACAAATACATTTTTCAGTACATACATGCTGTATTAAAAGATCACATTTTGGTGGTACAACAGGAGAAACTGACACAGTTGTTAAAAACTAAACAAAAAGAACAACAAAATTTGCCAGTCAAGCAAAGAACACAGTTTCGCGATGCAAAAAAAACTTCCATTGACATACACTGTGCTTGGCTAACTTGGCTGGTATTAGCACTGTAAAAAAAATTCCGTAAAATTTACGGTAAAAAAACGGCAGCTGTGGTTGCCAGAATTTTACCGTAAAAAATACGGTAGCAACGTTTTAGGTTTTACGGTTTTAACTTAAATTTACAGTTAAATACCGCAATTTCATTAACTGATATAATGTTAATATACCAACCTATTGAAGTACTGAAATCTGTTTTGTACCTTTGTAATAGACTAATAATTGTAATACCAAATGCAGGTGGTGATGAGAAAGTCGCATGATGAACCAAAGCCCATCACAAGCAGCTTTTAAATAATAACATGTATAGAAGGTGCATGGTGTCATTCACACAAACGCTAAACACCATCATGGTAACACACATGAAACTGAAATAATGCAATAAACATTCATTTAACAACATTAGGTGTAACACACAAACCTAATATACAAAACTGATAAGAAAAAACTAAGAAGAAACATAGTTATTTCAACAAAAAAACATCAAATTTGAAATGTAACGCAGGGAATTCTGGGAATGTCAATTTACAGTTATTCACTGTAAATTATACGGTCTTTTTCACTTCCAAAAAGCGGTATACTACCGTAAAATTAATGTCCAATACATGTAATGTTTAATACAGTTTTTCACCGTATATAGTAGAGGAATTTACCGTTAACCATTTAACAGGTTTTTACTGTAGCATTTTTACAGTCTTTTACCGTTAAATTCACGGTCCTTTTTTTACAGTGATATATAATTACAGGAACAGTCAAGTTGTTACTGTCATGTACGGCACACCTCCTCCCTCATGCCAAAGCACTCCTGCTGTATTTCTATTGATGAAACAACTACATTATGTATTGCTGACCCACTTAATATAAACAAAGCCACACACTGTGAGTCAAGCACAAACACTATGACCCTAAAAATCTGACTCCAGCTGAGACTGGAGGTGAATGAGAACTACATTACACACGTCTCCCTGATTAGCAATTCATATCAGTGATGCAGATCAAAATTGATTTCTGTAAAGAAATTTCTGTTTGTTCACACATTTTTCCTCCCTATTATGTGAGGTATTTTCAAAAGCCATCTGGTCTTTAAAAACAGGCATTTCCTTGTGTGCTTTACAAAGTTATCTGTAGTCTACATCAACTGCACAGAGTATTCATTGGTAATTAAGGAATTCCCATCAACATCTAATTTCCTCAGCTAAAGCAGATGAACTGGTTTTGAACCTCTAAGAGGGTCAGTTGTGCTCAGCAGATATCCGTTCATAAAGCAGCTTCATATTTGCATTGCAACTATTTCAAATAATCCTGAAAAGAATGTATCAGGTTTTTCCACAAGAACGTTAAGCAGCTGTTTTCAATACTGAAATATTTCTTGAGCACAAATAGCATATTAAAAATGATTTCACAATATTACTGTTTTTACTGTTCTTTTGATTAAAAACAAAAATCTTTCTAACTCCTAACTTTTGAATGGTATATTTTATTTACTGAGAATTTAATGTGTATTAATAACTGTTTAGCTGAAGCGTTTTCATCAATAGTTAATTTCAAATATTTACATTTTATGGGTGAGACATTACAAATGCTATTCTGTGGAACATAGATCAGTGGTACTTATATGTGACCCTGGACCACAAAAAGTTGCACGGGTATATTTGTAGCAATAGCCAACAATACATTGTATGGGTCCAACTTATTGATTTTTCTTTTATGCAAAAAATCATTAGAATATTAAGTAAAGATAATGTCCCATGAAGATATTTTGTAAATTTCCTACCGTAAATATATCAAAACTTCATTTTTTGATTAGTAATATGCATTACTAAGGACTTCATTTGGACAACTTTAAAGGCGTTTTTCTCAATATTTTGATTTTTTTTGCACCCGCAGATTCCAGATTTTCAAATAGTTGTATCTCAGCCAAATATTGTCCTATCCTAACAAACCATATATCAATGGAAAGCTTATTTATTAATTGAGTATAAATCTCAATGTAAAAAAATGACCCTTATGACTAGTTTTGTGGTCCAAGGTCACATATATAAATGACAAAGTAGGGCTAGCAGTTACACTTTTCACTCCAGTGAATATTTCTCAGGCTGGGTTAATTTTTGAAAGTCAGTTTCAAACCTTAAAGTCTTGAATGTAAAGTACATTTAAAAAATCACAAACCTCACTGTTATCTTCCATACAAAGACACTTTAATTTCATCACAAAGCATTGGCCAGTTTATGACACCAGACCACAATAAGATACACATGGCAGCAGTAAGATTCACACGCACCCGTTCCACTACAGAGTGGAGATTTTGGTGTTGCCCGCAGACCCCTCCATATACAGTATGTGTATATACACACACATACTAACCATAAACTTGTATTTTACAATCAGTTCATTTTCAATACAATGACTTCATTATCAATACTTAGTAAATGTACATGTCGACACAAGGCAACAGAAGCACAACTCCCAGAGATGCACAACAAATATACATTAGTACAGTAACAGAATCTGTTCACCATATAATCAGTCAGAACAGATGCTATGTTCATTTAAACTCATGTCAGGGTATGAAGGATTCTTGAATTTATTTATCAATAACATTTCAACCGCAGACCATTCTCTTTGGTCGGACATTTTCCACTACTGCATCAACAAATAAATAAATCGCACCAACTTGAAAGTATCACATAAACATAATTCTGAGACTTTTTTCATACCAGACACTTCATAATATATATATATATATATATTCTAATATATGTACATTTCAATCAGACAGGACTTATTAGTTTGCTAGGGAAAATACAAGAGACACATTCTGGCCAAAACAAACACTGTGGGATCAAATAACGTTCAAACTTTCAGGAAGAATACATTCACACACAGTACCACATAACAAGTGCAAAAATCGTGAAGTTTATTTTGTGTATCCGCTATCCTGTATACTGGCGTGCAGACAGGAATGTAAGCTTACACCTTTAGCTCGTGTGACACCTCTATATAGATCAAGTCGACATTGACTAGTGTGTAAACACAAACACCACACAGCATCTTCAGTATAATTAACATGGCAGTGACTTTGTATGTTGACACAAGTCCACACTGGGCGTAGTATTCAGATGCCCATTACAATGTGATTAGTGTATATAGTACAGACAGAGGGAATGAGCTTTCCCGCATTCTTCATTTATCTTTCTGACTTTTCTTTCATCCACTTCATCCGTACTTGCTGCTGCAGTAACGTTCGGCATTCAGCAATCCCAGGATGCACTTGGTCAGAGGAAAAGCACAGAGAAAGAGAGGCAGTGGAGAGACAGAAAGAGAGGAGGAGGATGAGGAGGAGGAGGAGGAGGAAGGACGATTGGCTCTAAGAGTCAAATGAAGGATGTGGACTCACTGTGAGAAGGGCTTCCTTTGTTTGGACGGCTAAAAGACAAAAAAGAACAACAAATAAAACAAAAAAAAGGAAAAAAGCTTGGAAAATGACAGCATGGATAGTAGAAAGAATGGGTTTGTCAATGTCAAGTGGGTATGATGGCTTGTTTTTGTTCACTTAAGTTAATTTTAGCACTTGTGAATGTGATGATGACAAATGTGAAAAATATATAATATTTTTTTCTCTTTTTTTAGATAGAATTTAACAGCTCCAGCTGTGAGAACATTAGTCTATATTTTTTCCATCTGCGGAATAATGCACGTGTGAGAATCATTATCGAGAAACATAATTGTGCTCCAGCATTTTTTTAAAAATTGAAACCAGTTCTGAATATGAAACGATTCACGCTTACATTTTTTTGTATGATTTACTGTTAACGCTTTTAATGTAAATCAATATCAGAAAGGTGCAATATAACATTCAGACATTAATAGGGACTATATTAAATCATAGAATCTCAAAAACTTGTTAAAACGTGCTTATTATTAAACAATAAAATAAAAATCCAAACCGTTTTATATAAGGCAATATAAAAATCCAGAAGAGTAAGATGAAACTTGTTCATTGTTAAGAAATATGACTGCAACATAGAATTTAATGAAGCAGTACGACAAGCAACATGGTATTTTTGAAGAAAAACTTGCAGGTCACGTTTATTCAGGGGTTAAGAACTGGTCAGATGCTGGTTAAGGCTTAGTTGTTGCTAATAAAGGCAAAAACATGCCAGTGTCATCTAGCATCCATGTGCATAAATGTTGAAGCAAACTGTGAAATAGGCTGGAACACGGACAATCCCTGTGCGTTTTATAACTAGTGTATTTCATTCCTAAATACAGGATATATGCTGGTAATGCAATACAATGGCACCACATCTGCGCTCATGTGAATGTGAACGGTATACAGTTATTAGACCAATTTATAATATTCCTGGTGTATATTGTGTAAGAGTAAATACTCTTTCAAGTAAACATGTGATATGTTTGTGGACTGTGCTTGTGTGCATGCATGTGATACAGTGGCAGAGGGGTCAGTGTTTTCCTCTGTCTGCTGATCACCAGTGTTAATGCTCAGTGAGTGAGTCTCTGTTGGATCTGGTGGGGGAGGCTGGCACTCTCCGACTTCAAAGATGACAACAGACAGATTGATGGACGCAGACATATAAACAGGGGGAAAGACACAAAATTAGGAACAACACAAAAGAACATGAAGACAAAGGCAGTAACAATGAACTCTGAAAATGAACATATACTGTATGACACACAAGGTGGATTCATCAGAGATTCATGAAGTACTAATGTCATGTTATTAAACACCTACAGGAATAATAAATCAGACTATACATTTATAATTTAGTTTAAAAAATAATAATAAAACTTGGATTAAAACTGTTTAAACCAATTCACCTGGGCTTGATGTTTCACAAGTAAACTATATGCAAGTTAGCAAAGCCATTACTGAACATTTGGCACGTTGTGAACAAGTCTCACAAATAAATACTTTCTGTAAAAAAAAAAAAAATTAAGAAAGAAATTAAGCTAAATTATAATAATAGAAAAGTATCAGGAACACACATCACACAAAAACATAAACAGCATGCCATACACCAAGTATATGTCAAAAACCTATATGTGTTAAAAAGGATCTATATGCCCCAAGTTAAGTTAAATTAAATTACAACTGCTAAATTAAATATAAAAATAAAACAAAATAATTACATAGTCACAATAGTTGATTTATAATATACTTAAATACAACTATTGCTAAATTAAATATTAGTAAAAAATTATATATTATTAAATTATTATTTATTTTAAAACCATGTTAACTTAAATTCAACCAGGTAACTCTTCCTTATAAAATTAATTGGCAGTTCTAAGCATAGTTTAAATGAGGACTTTAGAAAAATAAAATACTCAAATGAATTGACAGTAATAGACAGCCTGGTATACTCATATCTAGTGAATGACAGGTGTTAGGGAACAGCAGATGTTAACACATTTAAAGATAAACCATGCAAGGACGTGGTGATGTCACATAAGGACAATATGTTGGACATACCATTTGCGTAACTCCTCATTGGTCACTGATAGAAATTCTGAAACAATAACCGGAATCATTGTGGAAGGGATTTAGTGGGACTGAGTTTGAGGAGAACATGGGTCGACAGAAAAGAAGCAATGGGAGGAAGCAAAAACGTATCATCTCCATGGTTTGTCCCGTTTAACTGATCAGTTTTCCTCACAATTTCCTCCCAAACATGTATATCATGAGAGAATGATCTCACAAAGCTGATGCACTGATGTTACTATACAGTACAAACAATACATGAACTGAATGATTTAAAACAATGTTTGAATGAATATGCACATGGCAAGGAGATGGAGAAAGAAAACCAGCGTAGTTGAAAAAATGTGTGAGTGGTTTGTTAGTGCAGGTCTCTGAGTTGGACTGTGTGAGCTGAGAAAAAGTAATGGATTGTGACAGGCGAGAGAAGTAGAAATAGCAGGAAGAGTGTTACTGATCTGTCTTTCTTGTGTTAAAGACCAGGGATCAGGTCAGGGCAGAAGGGCTGTAAAGGGTGTAAATGGAGGGTAGTTTGTAGATCATTGCTCTCAACACCATTAATACTTGTATTACTCCCCACAGTACTCAAAACACATTCTATGGTCACTAGGCTGTATTTAATTCAATTAAATATTTCATTTGCATGTGCACCATCTGAACAATTACACTGGAACATTATTACATTTGTTTATATATCAGGTAGGTAATTATGTTTTGCACAATTACTGTATGAATAAACTTCCTCTCTGACTCACCTTGGGACACCTGGTGGGGCGCGGTTGGGACGAGAGGGGACCTGGGGCGGGGGGCCGCCGAAGGGGTCAGGAGAGGCTCCAGGTCTGGATGGCACAGGAGGTGCTCCAGCAGTAGGGGGTCCTGGGGCGGTGCGTCCACCTGGACGAGGGGGCCCAGGTGGGGCCCGACGCTGGGGAGTGGGACTAGACATTGGAGATCTGTTGAGAAAATAAAAAGATTATTATCTATCTATCTATCTATCTATCTATCTATCTATATAATTAACCATAAAAAACAAGGGTAGGGACAACCAAACACAACTAAAATGTTAACACTGGAACACAACTAAAATGTTAAAAGATGCTAGCAACTTATAGAAACGTCTAAAACATGCTAAAACATCTATCTGACAGATTGCATGGCCTTAAAGGATTAGTTCACACCAGAATTAAAATTTTTCTGATAATTTACTCACCCCCATGTCATCCAAGATGTTCATGTCTTTCTTTCTTCAGTTGAAAAGAAACTAAGGTTTTTGAGGAAAACCTTTCAGGATTTTTCTCCATGTAGTAGACTTCAACAGGGACCGGTTTGAAGGTCCAAATTGCAGTTTCAACGCAGCTTCAAAGGGCTCTACATGATCCAAGCCAAGGATTAAGGGTCTTATTTAGCGAAACAATCGGTCATTTTCTAAAAAAAAAAAAAAACGTATATACTTTTCAACCACAAATCTTTTCCAACATGACTACATAATGCATGAAGTTGTGGACGTGCATCACAGAGCTAGTGAAAGACGAGCATTTGTGGTTAAAAAGTATATAAATTAAAAAAAAATTTTTTTTAGAAAATGACCGATTGTTTCGCTAGATAAGACCCTTATTTCTTGGCTGGGATCGTGTAGAGCCCTTTGAAGCTGCATTGAAACTGCAGTTTGGACCTTCAAGCTGGTCCCCTTTGAAGTCCACTATATGGAGTGGAATGTTTTCCTCAAAGACCTTAATTTCTTTTCGACTGAAGAAAGAAAGACATGAACATCTTAGATGTTGGGGGGGTGAGCAAATTATCAGTAAATTTTAATTCTGGAGTAAACTAATCCTGTAAAACATCCCAATTTCCAGCTTTTAAAATTATTTCAGTCTTAAAACCTCAAAACTTTTTATGTTTTTAAAACGACTTTGATCTTAAAACTACTTTAAACCATAAAACTTAAAAAGGCCTATTAAGACAATACCAAACAAATATTAAAGACCTCATGAAATCAAAATCAGTGTTTTGTGAACAAATGACGTTTAACTGGGCTAGGATAACGTAAAGGCAAGTGAAGTGAATTGAAGTGAAGTGAAAGTGACATGTGGCCAAGTATGGTGACCCATACTCGGAATTAGTGCTCTGCATTTATCCCATCCAAAGTGCACACACACAGCAGTGAACACACACACACCATGAACACACACCCGGAGCAGTGGGCAGCCATTTATGCTGCGGCGCCCGGGGAGCAGTTGGGGGTTCGGTGCCTTACTCAAGGGCACCTCAGTCGTGGTATTGAAGGTGGAAGAGAGCACTGTACATTCACTCTCCCCACCTACAATCCCTGCCGGTACGAGACTCGAACCCGCAACCTTTGGGTTACGAGTCCGACTCTCTAACCATTAAGCCACGACTTCCCCTAATTGCAATTGGCTATTCAAAAATGATCTTTGATACACTTCACCTCAATTTCCTGTTTCAGTATGAAATACTGAACAAATGAAAAGCCATATCATTCAAATTCTTAATTAAAAAATAAGTGTACACTGAAACTCACATCAAAACATTGCTTATTTAATAAACATTTCTGACACAGTACCTGCGCCCTGAAGGTCCTCCTTGTACCTGCAGCCAGGAGTCATCCACCGGCGGGGGCATGGCAGTGGAGACGGTGGTGGTGCTGATGTCCCCGATGATGTTGAGGGCCTCTTTCAGAGCGTGGTACATGCGCAGCATCTCCTCCCTGTGCTGAGCCTGTTCTGCTGACTCCTCCATCAGAGTGTTCTGGTCTCCACATGAGTACAAGTTAGCCAGCAACTCAGCATGGATGAATTCCTTAGTCTATGGGAAGAGGAAGTAAGGAAGAAGACTAAGAAAAAGTGCCATGCCAGCTGTATTTGCCTGGAACTGCAGGTCTAAGAAACATTACAAACTTACATGATTCTTATTTGATAGCAAACATCATGGTAAACACAGCTTACGTTGTTGATCATGAGATGCATGATGGTCTTAGGCATGAGGTCCCGCACAGTCTTGTTGACAATGGCCATGTAGGAATCCACAAGGTTCCTGATGGTCTCCACCTGCCTCTCAAGCTGAGGATCCATGGAGTGCGTGAAGCCATCTGAGCCGTTCTCCTCACTAGCATCACTCTGCTGAGGACCAGCAACACATATTGATATTCACATATTACTGGCACTAATAAAATTAGGGACAAATTGAGGAACAAAGAGTGGAATAATGAAGCAAATTAAATCCTATCACTAGATCACAGTTGATTTGATCTCTGTACTCAACAGTCAACCAGTGGTGGAGTTTACACAATCATTTTGTTAAATACAACACATACTGATATTCGGAGAGGAATATGTTTGCATATGACAGATTTGGAAGAGAGAAAAATCAGTCAGAGGAAAAACGTACCTTCTCTTTATCCTGCAGATGTAGCAAAGAAAGCACAATAAGTTAATTAAGTTAGTAAGCTATCAAATGTTTGTTAGAATTGCATTGGTGACTGGTTATACATGTGGTAGCTGTTGCAGCACAGTAATGAGTTAATAAGTTAATATGACTGAGAGATGATCAACGGAAGCATTCACGTACAGTGATGCGCTCTGGGTAAACTCCAGCTCGTAGGAAGGACGCCTTCCAGCTGTCCACCTCCTCCTGAGTGTCGCAAGCCAACTCAAGCTGCCTGTAGTCTTTATACACGTTCCTGAGCCAACAGTCCAACAACATGCATGAGCAATGAGTCATATTGTGTTTACGAAATAAAAACGACCAGACACTAGTGCCAATGTAGATGAGATGTAAAAAAAATGAGATGTAAATTGTATAAATGTGACCCTGGACCACAAAACCAGTCATAAGTAGCACGAGTATATTTATAGCAATAGCCAACAATACTTTGTATGGGTCAGAATTATCGATTTTTCTTTTATGCCAAAAATTATTAGGATATTAAGTAAAGATCATGTTCCATGAAGATATTTTGTAAATGTCCTACCGTAAATATATCAAAACTTAATTTTTGATTAGTAATATGCATTGCTTAGAAATTCATCTGGACAATTTTAAAGACGATTTTCTCAATATTTTGATTTTTTTGCACCCTCAGATTCCAGATTTTCAAATAGTTGTATCTCGGCCAAATATTGTCCTATCCTAACAAACCATACATCAATGGAAAGCTTATTTATTCAGCTTTCAGATGATGTATAAATCTCAATTTTAAAAAAATTGACCCATATGACTGGTTTTGTGGTCCTGGGTCACAAATCAGTATTGAATTATTATATAATTTTTTTTATTATAAATGTTTATTATATGTGTTAATGTTTATTATACATGCACCTAATCAGCATATTACAAGGATTTCTGAAGGATCATAAGACTCTGGATTAATGAAGCTGAAAATTCAGCTTTGCCATCATAAGAATACATTACATTATATATTCAAATAGAAAACAGCTATTTTAAATTGTGTTAACTTAAGAGAACTATAGCGCTCCAAACTGGAAAAAAGAAATCCTTTTACTGCAGGTGCGTAGACCCAATGGAAAACTTGAAAATGAACAAGAAGGAGGCTAGCCGCACACTGAATCCAGTTCAGACGGGAAAAGTCTACTAAAACAAACTTTTTATTTTATAAATTGCACCGTGCAAAAAGTGCAGTGTGCATGAAAGTTAAAAACTAATGGACATGAACAAGCAGACCTTTCAGCGCATTGCTATTGTTTTTAACTCACATGCACTCTGCACTTTTTGCACGATGCAATTTATATAAAAAAAAAAAAAAAGTTTTTGTAGATTTTCCAGTCTGTATCGGATTCAGTGTGCGGCTAGCCACCTTCCTGTTCAGTTTATATTCAGAATAATTTTGCATTAAGTATAATAATGCATTTCTTTATTTTTGAAAGCATTTTCTGCAGTGAGTAAAATATTTTCTCTAACCTTTGTTCGGTGTTAAAGAGAGCAAACACGTGCTTGCTGGACATGAAACTCTTCTCTATATCTCTGAGCTTCAGGTTGTCCAATGGCAGCATGTACTTCTTCTCTTTCTCCTGCAGAGGGCAATGAGCACAATTAAAAAGTTAATAAAACAAAGCAAAAGAGAACACTACAAGATCAGGGACTGCCTACTGAAGAGTTGTAGTTGCTGAACCTGTATGTCCTTAAACTATATGGCAAAAGCAGAATACAATACTTAAACTGCTAGCCTAGCACTCTTTTATGAGCACATAAATCTGTATGAATATGTTTAGAAATTCAGAGGAATTAAACAACAGTTAGTGCTTACATGTCGGTCCCATCAGCTATAACACTAAAGGGTTAACAAGTACTTGTGATGTGAGTATTGATTCCACACTGGAAGCCTGCAATGGCACACTAAGTATCATGATTTATGACTCGCACACTTAATCAGCAACACACCAGCTGGAGATGGAAATCCTGTATAAAGTGAATAAAACTGCTCTTAAAGATTAAAGTATGTGTTTTTCTCAGATACCTAAAGGGGACAGAAAAAGGTTGATTTGTCATTCTGATTGATGCTTATCCCTTTTGAATACAAAAGTGAGAGCAGCGAGATGACACAATGAAGCATGTAGGAGGAGGAGAGGGAGTGAAGATGAAAACACTTGCATGTTAACAGTGTGAAGCATCCACATATTAGAAGAGTAGCCTAACCTACTTACAAACCACCAGAGGAATGTATTTCAGCATCAACACAAAATTATCTGTATATCAGCTATACTTAAGAACACTTGATGTCAGTACTCTATTTTAAAGATGTGATATAAATATAAAAAAGTAGCAACAATATTCACATTTATATCAGTTATTGTTGTGGCAAATAAAACCGTGTGTGCCCTCTTTAATTAACATTTATTTCAATTTAAGGACTCAAAGTCTCAATGTGGTGTAAAGACATGAAATATAAATGTAAAGAATATTTTTCACGGATAGTCCAACTTATAGCTATACAGTAGCTGCTGTAAAATATAGTGTAGCTTTCATAAATAAGATCCATTTGGAGTAATGACGTAGTGCAACAAGTGCTACATTACTGTTTTTTAAACTCACGTGTGAAAGGGTTAATATATGTTATATATATTTGCATCTGAAAGACCTAAGGTAATAATCAAACACGTAAAAAGACAGTAAGTATAGTGAATTGCTTTGTTCAATCAGATAATCAGTAATCAGATTTTTTTTATTGTTCCTTTAAATAGCTTTGTTGTAATTGTAGAATCTTATCTTATCCCTTTCTTTAAAAAGGGAACCTGTACTATAGTTTAACTACTTTCAATTATTAGTAACTTGTAGCATAAGGAGTTAGTTTCATCTCATCCCATTCCTCATCTCTGTTTTCTTCATGCAGTCTTCTCTCAGCTGTCCGCTCCCCCCCAAAAACATAAAAAATCAAAAGAAGACAGTGCCTCTCTTAGACCAGCATTCATAGTCTATGGTTCAATAATTTACCCTGAAATTTATGATAATTTTCCTCCACTGCACCATATCCAGAAATAACAGACTTTAGAGAGACTCCCAAGTCTGGGGAAACAAAAACGTTGAATCATAAAATCACAGAGGATGCCTGTGTATGTAAAATTCAGGAAAAGAGCTTATGTATTTGCTTTTTTAGTCTATGATCATTACACGTTTGGCACATGCGGGCACCAAACTTTAAATTATAAAGTTGACTGTACCAAGGCTATGATTAATTTAAAGAGTAAACATATTGTATTTGTATTATCACTAATATTATGAATCAAAATAAATCAGTTTGACAGTTATTTTTTTCAGCTGTGAAAAGATGTACATTTCAATTGGAACCTCTTGTTTCTTTGATCAAAAATATAAATACTACAAACACTTATAAACATGTCACTCATATATAAGGTAAGATATTAACTCTGGTATTTCTGCTGTAATTATGACAAAGCCGCTGGTATTTCCAATGTTCTTATGAACTGGGAGTGTTAATATATTAATTAACCACAAATTATTTTGTGATTCTATAAATTTCAAAAACTGTAGGTTTTCAAGTATGTAAAAGTATGTAAAAAATATTTCTCATATTGCATTTTAAGCTAGAATATTTTAATATATTAATAATTATTTTAATATATAACACTTTAAAAAAAGGTACTATTAGTTAATGCTAGTTAATGGATAAAGTAATATTAACTAACAAAGAGCAAAACTAATAATTTGTTACATTATCTAAGAATCTGTCATGAGTCTGGGCCCTGCGTTTCTCCCTCTCTCCTCCAGAGGGCGCCATCTCCCGGACTCCCATTCCCCAAACCCCATACACCTGTTCACTCATTACACTAATTCCCCAAACTCCACACACCTGTTCAGTCACTCACTCATCACACTCACCCTCAGCTGTGCCCCGTTGTCACTGACCATATCTTCACCTCTCACTCACCACTCGGCCTGGTTGTATTGTGTAATGAAATGGTGTTCGTCGTCTCTAGACCTGTTTTTGTTTTGCCTTGTTGGCCTTTCTGTTTAAATAAAGAAGTTTTCACCTGCATTTGGACCCAGACCCTGTTTACACGGTGTGTTTTCAGTACCGAGCCGTGACAGAATACAACCAGCAGACATGGGTCCAGCAGGGAAGTTTCTTAACGTCCGCCAGGGAGACCGGAGCATTGAGGATTACACCAGGGACTTCGTGGGAGTGGCTCGCCAGTCGGCCACGGAGAAAACCTGCCTCATGGTCTTTTTCTGGGGAGGCCTAGCCGAGCCCTTCAAGTCCCTGATGCCATACTGGGTCCCCGAGGAGTCGCTGGAGGACTATATCAACCTGGCCCTGCATTTGAGCGGCTCCGCCTTCAGGGTGGAGGTAGCTGCGGAGCCCGCTCACAGTCCTCCCGAAGCGGCAATCCACGGGGTGTCAGAGGCCTCGTCTGCCGCACCCAGTATCTCACGCCCGTTCCCGGTGCGTCCCGGGCTGACACGCAGCGTGCAGGAATCCCCGCTGATGTCGGTGCGAGCGGCGTGGTCAGCTCGCAAGGCTCTCGAGGCAGCGGTGCCCGCTCACAGTTCCCCGGAGGCGGCGGTGCCCGCTCACAGTTCCCCGGAGGCGGCGGTGTCCGCTCACAAGGCTTCAGAAGCGGCGGTGTCCGCTCACAGTTCCCCCGAGGCGGCGGTGTCCGCTCACAAAGCTTCAGAAGCGGCGGCGCCCACTCACATTGGCCCCGAGGCGGTGGCGCCCGCTCACGATCCTCCCGAGCTGGCGGCGCCCGCTCACGATCCTCCCGAGGCGGCGGCGCCCGCTCACGATCCTCCCAAGGAGGCGGTGTCCGCTCACGGTTCCCCCCAGGCGGCGGTGCCCGCTCACAGTTCCCCGGAGGCGGCGGTGCCCGCTCACAGTTCCCCGGAGGCGGCGGTGCCCGCTCACAGTTTCCCGGAGGCGGCGGTGTCCGCTCACAAGGCTTCAGAAGCGGCGGTGTCCGCTCACAGTTCCCCCGAGGCGTCGGGG